TTCCATTTAAAAAAATTAATGTGACCTTGACCTGACCTTCGCTACGCAACCCAAGGTCAAACTGATGTGATCAGTAAATACATCTTTTTAAACGCCACAACTTTTGTCTGAAACATTTTTTTGTAAAACTTATATTTTTCCTGATATTCGGGCGTCCCGGTACTTTCCGAACACCCTGTATGTAACAAAATACATTTCTCTCATTTAAAAAAAATTTTTTAATGTACATCACCAATTTAAATTTCGATTTTCTTATTTCTTTAAATGTTTCGAACAGCCTTAGGCGGTGAGCGGCTAGTTCATATGCTATCGAACGTTCGTCGACTACTATTGTCAATTGCGCGAGTATAGGTCGTGCTCTCCTATTCAGGAGCCTCGTCAGATGGTGTGAGGAAAGTACGAGAGCGCTCTTGTGTATAAGAGCACTGCGTGGCCCAGTATAGGGCCCGTGTGGAGTTGCCCAGCGCCTCCGCGCTAGAAAGGAACCCCCCTTTCGGAGGATGATAGTCACTCAGAGTATGGAGACATTGGTCCGTCTCCTTTCGTGAGCGTCGGAACCAAGTCCGAATGAGATTCAGCTCTATTTGGCGAGGGAGCAACAGAGGCTGAATCTGAGATGATAAACAGGCGAGTGGGACTCGCCTGAACAGTCGCGCACGCGGCGAAGGCTCTGTCTCGTAGGGAGAGCCTCAACGCGAATGTAACTCGAGTGCTTGAATCGCGTATGCGGCGAAGTCGAAACCTAACGTTGACTAACACGTAACCATCGACGTGCGTTGACAATGCCGCGTGGGTGACTGACGCTAAGTCTCGTCGAGTCTAGAAGCGAATATCCCTCGCGTGTAAAGTCGCGAATGCGACGATCTGTTAAGTCGTGAGTAGACTTATACCAGCCAACTTGCGTGAGCGCTGCGCCCCTGGCAGCGGAGTAATAGCGAGCGTGGCTCGCGGGAGAGCTGCGGCCCTGGCAGCAGAGTTCTTGATGACAATGACGACTCGCGCGGAGTCGTGATCTCAACAGTAAGTTCTGTCGGCGATAATATCCAGTATATGCAATACGGGAAGTGTCGCGAAGTGAGACGTCCACCGCGGTGGAGGCGTCAAGATAATCCGAAGTGGTCGCGCGAAGCCTTCTCTCAATTCTCGATCGTATTGAGAAGGTGGAGTTATCTAAACCCTTCGTAACCTAAATGCCAACGTGTCCTCGAACACTTTAGAGGCAATAGCCCAACGTGCAACGCACTCTAAAAGGCTGCGGAGAGTTATGTAGAATCACAAAGGACCTAAACATAAATGCCAACGTGTCTACGACATTCTGAAGGCAGTGAAGATCAATGCAGATATGCAAAAGTATACCTCTGGTGAGGCAAATGCCCAACGTGCTTGCGCACTCAAGAAGGCGATATGAAGCTAGCTAGAGCTCAAAAGAATACCTCAACGAGGCAGTGACCTGATGTGCAACCGCAATCAAAAGGCCTCGAGTGGTCTCGCGCGGCGCTTTATATAGGCGCCTAAGCGAGAATTAGCTGCGAGAAGCGGTTCCGGCTGACTTGAAAAAATATTTCTTAAATTTTAGAAAATATATAATAAATATAAAAAAATATTTTTTTAAATTTGTAAAATAAGCTGCAAAATTATGAATTTATAAATAAGAAAAGTGATTTCTTTGATTTAAAATATCTATATATAAGAATAAACAAATGATTTCTTTACAAGGAGAAAATTAGTGTTTTTAAATGTAAAAACTGTTTAAATAAATATTTGCTTGTTTTAAAAGTAAATAAAATACAAGTAAATCATTTTATAAATCTGAATAAATTATTTTCTAATATTAAAAGTATTTTTTATGTTTCAAATTAAAATTTCTTTTATTATCAGAAAAAAATTTATTTAAATTTACAAAATTATTTTACTTACTTTTAAAACATGTAAATATTTTTTAAATATACTTTCTACATACTTTTTAAAACATATTTTAAAAGAATCTACTCTTTTCTTTTAAATAAATCATATGATTTCGTATATGGGTATACCATATATACACAATATAAAGCGTCTCTCAATCAAAGTGACAGTGACGCAGTAGGTAAGGTGAACGACACAAGAATCAGCCCAAGTAACAGACTCACGTCAAAATGACGTAAAAAACTGGTCATAACTGGTCGAATGACGTCAAGTGACTAAATAACGACGTCTTTAAAACGTCTTTTTTGTGACATCTTAATGACGTTTCTGTATAACGTCTTAAAAACGTATTATTGACGTTTAGAGACGTCATAAAACGTCATTAAGTCGTCTAAAATGTCGTCATCGATCTGTGACATTAGACTATCATTTTGACGATATTCTCACGATATTTTTGATCATTCCTTGGTTATTTTTTATCCTGAACTTACTTAGATTTGGATGTCATTTTGACGTGTCTGCTACCTGGGAGAGGTCTCAGGCTCGAATCTCAGCAATGCCCATACAGCACAGAAGCTTGCAGCAACATTGCTACAACGTTGCAAGATTGGATATTGCAGTGCAATGTTGCAGAGACTTTGCAGTGACATTAATTTGCAATATTACTTTAGCAATATTGCAGTAATATTTAAAAAAATATTACGAATATAATATATTTTATTTATTTACTAGTTATTTTTGTTACTTGTATTTCAAATTCAGTAATGTTTTATATTGTAACAACCGTACTCCGCGTGTCGGTTGGTGTCGATACCACGGATTTATTCGCTCGTCGGAGTCCGGGTTCGTGAAATTAGATGATAAGCGGATTGTAATAAACAAAAATAACAAAAAGATTTATTCAGCCTTCGTACAGAGTAGTCGTGTATATTGTCCGTGTGGGCGGCGGACGTAAAGAATGCTCCCAACGTATGGCCTGCGTATCGAAAAAGGCGACTAAAAAACCCTCATGGGTGGGTTGCTGCGCCCATGAGTATCAGGAGCTGGAGGGCTCCTCTCCTTCTCGCTTCAGAGAGAGAGGGGAGCCCAATGGCGCCCACTGCAGGGGAGCGCACCGGATCCCTTATGCCAGTATGGTACCGGTCTCTCGGATGGGCAGCGGCGCCCGAGAGTATCAGAGGAAGGCGAGCGCGCCCGGTTGTCCTTAGGGCAGCCTGTGCGGGTGAACCGACCTCACCGCGGGGGCTGTCGGGTCCCAAATGCCTGTATGGCAACCGGCCTCCCGGGTGGGCAGCTGCGCCCGGGAGTAATAAGATCCTCGGTGAATACTTCACCGGGGATCCACAGCGGCGGCAGGGCGGGCTCCTGAGGCTCCGTTGAGCCAAACCGCCCTAGGGGGCGGCCCGAAAAGCCGCCCGGGTTGGGGGGCCGCCGTCATGCCCCCCATTAAAAATATGATGGATAAAAAAAAAAGAGATGACTGGCGGCAGGTCGGATGTGTCGCGCCGGCATGGGGGGGGGGCTATGGTCCCAGGTTCCCCCTTTTCTTCAACGAGCGATGGGCCAAAAGAAGCCGGTGCGTCTGCGGCGGGCGCGCCGGCGGATATAGCGACCGCCAAGGGGAGGGGGGAACCAGGAAAAAGGAAGGGGAGAGTGAAATGGGAGGGGTGAAAAGAAGAAAGATAGACGAAGAGCAGGAGGGGATTGGGATAGGGATAAAGAAAAAGGTAGGGGAAGTGGATAAAGGGATGGATGTGGAAGATAAAGAGGTCCAAGGATGGCCGGATCCCCAGAGGAAGCGTAAGACTCGGGACTTCGTGCTCTCACGGCTTGACTTTCTTAAGGAAAGTGCCGGGCACATTGGAGAGACTGTCTCTAAAAGTAAAAGGATGAGCGGAGTAGAGAAGGGCAACATCACGAGGAGTAAGGAAGAGATAATAAAATATGGGGAGGATGTTTAAGATGAGAACGGAATGGTTAGAGGAAGTGATAAAAGAAAGGAATGAAATATTGGATAAGTGTGAAGACGATAATGCAGGGCTGATAGAGGATTTGGACAGTTACAGAAAGAAAATACGAGAATTGGAAAAGGAAAAGGAATCATGGGTACTGGAAAGGAACGGCTGAAGGAAAGAAATAAAAGAAAAGGAAGAGAAGATAAAGGAGATAGGTGCAGACAGAGGGAGACGGCGGAACGGGCGGGGTCTCCGTTTCCAGAGGCACGGCCCGACGTCAGGGACCGAGCAACGTCCCAGCTGCGGGAAAAGACACCCGGGCGGAGGGGAGAGACGCCGGCGGCCGGAAGGCCGCCGGTCGCGGCAGGAGGAGGGACTGCGCCCTCCCCGCCCGCTGTGGCTCCCCCGAGAGATCGGGGATTGGTTGTGGCGGGCGGGAGGAGCGCGAGGAGGAGGGAAAGGGGTCCCAAGGGGGACGGTGGGGGGACGCGCATTCCGGGGCGCCGGACTGTGCCAGAGGCACTGCCGGCGATGCCGACGACTGCGGCGGTATCGGTCCGCCTGGAACCGTGGGGCCTCTCCTATGCGGAGGCCCTCCGCAAGGCGAGGGCCGATATCGCCCCGGGTGCGGGTGGGGTCCGGCCCGCCTTTGTCAGGAGAGCCGCGAAAGGTGGCCTCCTGTTCGGGCTGGCCGGGCCCGGGAAGGAGGGAGAGGCGGACGCCCTGGCTGCCAAGCTCAGGGCGTCGCTCCCGGGGGCCGTGATCAAAGATGTCGCTTCCGAACGATATCTCTGAGCGTTATCTAGGAAGAGGAGAGTGTCGTGAGCGTGGAGTGTCAGGTAGCTCTGTGGTTTAGAGCAGTCGCCCGGCAAGCGAAAGACCCGGGTTCGAGTCCCGGCCTAGCAAGACCGCGCTTTCGATATTTTTCTCTTTCTGGAACGAAAAAGATACGCAGATCTCGAACGCACGGCGTCCCGCCGCCACCTAGTATGCCCTCCTCCTTCTATGGTCCTCAAGGATGGGGGAGGTCCGACTCGTCGGTTTTGACGAGTCGGTCCTCCCCGAAGAGATAGGGGAGGTCCTTGCTGTGCGAGGAGGATGTGGGTTGGGCGAAGTACGCCTCAGTACGGGGTTGGCGGGGCGAGGGGGTAGTCTGGGCGAGACTCCCCCTCGCCGCGGCTGCCACGGTGGCGGCAGAAGGGAGGGTGGCGCTGGGGTGGGCGGGGGCGCGGGTGGTGATGCTCGCTCCCCGCCGTCTCCAGTGTCACCGGTGCTGGCGGCTCGGCCACATCCCGGCGGCCTGCTCCGCGTCAATCGACCGGAGTGGGCTGTGCTACCGGTGTGGCCGGGCCGGGCACACCGCGCGGGCCTGCACACCTAGTGCGCCTCGAGGATGGCCGGGACTCGGGCCACCGAGTTGGGTGCCCGATGGGTGGTGGTGCTCCGGCGGGCGGAATGCCGCCGGGGCATCGCAGGGGCCGCCTAATGCGGCCGACTCCGGCCCCCCGCCGAGAGGCGTGCTGGCGGACCCCGGGAGTTCATCTCGGGATCTGGCCGGCGGAGAGGGCCCCGGTCTGACCGCCTAGACCGGGGCCACGGCGCCGGCCGAACATCGGGCCGGCGTCGGGGGGAAGGGTCGGTATCCGGCGAGTTTTTCGCCCCCACCGGTCCCCCCCTCTCTCCTACAGGTCGCTTGGGGGGTGCGCGGGGGCGCACCCTCCAATTATAGCGGCCCGGGAGGGAGGCGGCGCGGTGTTGGGTCGCGCCACGCCGCTGCTCAGGAGGAGCGCGACCGAGGGTGATTTATTACTCCCGGTCCGGGAGGGGTCCTCAGGACTGCAGAGGGGGGTCCGCGGAAGTTATACGCAAGTGGTCCCCGCGGGCCCTCTTGCCGCTGAGGACGGACCCGCCAGGGGTTTTAGTGGGTAGGGCCCCCGTCGAGTCTTCTCGGCGGGGGAGGAGCCCCACATAACCCGCTATCTCCACCCGGAGACCGTGGGTATGCGTAAAGCATTTCCCCTGGCTAAAAAAAAAAAAAAAAAAA